AGTAGTGCAAACACATGTGGAAGTGATTGTGGTGTGTGAGTGTGTGTAAGGTAGAATGAGACTCTGTGGGAAACCGAATTTACGCACCTGGATATCTGCCTGTCCATGAGGTTATTACAGCCAATTAGAGCCCAGAGATTCAGAATTGTGTGTTCGTGTGTGTGCGTTGAAGTTCATCAGCATGTTTGTTGACCAGCATTAAGGCATTTTTTAGATAGGAGAGCAGGCGCAAGCAGATGTGTAAATTCATAAAATCAGAGTTTGTGCAAGTTCTCATCTCCTCGATGAAGCTTTGGCAGATTTGTTACTGCCCAGCTCATGAAGTTATAATAAACACAGACCACCAAAAGACACACACACACACACTTACCCAACATGACCACCCTGTCTGCCTTTTATTAGTACATTTTAAATCCCTGCTTTTCCAAAAGCCTTCATCCACTTTGTTAAAAGATTACTTTCATTATGTCAGTTGGATATTTGCTTTATACAGTTTACTAAGACTAGGCTTAAAAAATAAGTACGGGAAAAATTTGAGTTAACTGAAACTATTTCAAACAATGTATTACAGAACTAAGTAAAATAAAATAAAAATGTAGAGCTAAATCTCTTTAATTTCACTCCGTCATTGTGGTCAAATCTTTCATCATGACCAGTCTGATGAGGCGGTTTGGTGGTTATGTTTATTGAGATTGGGATGTCTACATGACTGTGAGTCAAGTGTTTGTATTGTAACTCCTGTTCTCAACTTCTCCCTGGAAAAAAAATGGAAAAAAAAAAAAAGTAAAAACACACCCATAGTAGTAGTAGTAATAATTATTATTATAATAATAATTTAAAAAAAATTGATATCTTTAGTGTAAAATCTAAACAAGCAAACTCTGGAAACAAAGACTAAACTGAGTAAAAAGTGAAAACTACAACTATTATATAAGAATCCCCCCCTTGCTATTTTCTGCATTTAAGATCTTTTCATAAGGAGCTCTTGTACAGCTGTCAAGCAGCTGTATAAAGTACTGTCAACATCTGGACTGAAACCTCAAATACTTGAAACAACCACTCAAACAAGATTATTTTAAACAGAAAAGAAAAAGTGAGCTTTCAATTAGGACGGAACCTAACAATTATTTTATCATTGATTCCTGGAACAATAAGGATTAGGGCCGCCCTCCAAAAACATTGTACCAACTAATCAGTTGATGACAAGAGTCTTGTTTTTGTTTGGTTGTGCACAGTCAAGTCCACCACAGGAAGTGGCTACAGAAAGACATCAACCGTTCATCGATGCAGTTACAGGTGGGATGTCGAGGCTTCTTTTGAGGAGGTAAAAGACACTCAAGAATGTCCAAACTCTGCAGGGATCATTTGTCAACATTAAACACGGTTTATCTAACATTAGACAGTCAGCATCTTGCTTCTCTAACATCAGACAAAGTTTCCTCATGAAGCACAGAGCAAGCGCTGTTTCTTTAAAGGCTTGCTACTACGTTACTTTTATGTGCTATGCAATGTTGCCCTGCATTAACAATGTTACTTAAAAGATTTTCAGCCCTGAAACGATTTTGACATAATCTAAAACAACATAGATTGTTTGATTTGGATCTTTGTGTTTGATTTTGGCACAGACTTTGCCAAAATCAACTAGCTTTGCGATCCCCCTACGATTGGTTTTAAATGCATTTATAAATACATGTTTTTAAGCATGTGTGGCTCAATCATGTTTATATGTAGGCACCATCAAAGGCCAATTTTAAGCCAGGAAAAATCCTGTAGGAGGTACAAAGACTAAGCAACTCATTATTTGAACTAACAGCTGGCAGAAAAACTTTTGGGCAGGGCTAGTTTATGCTATAAAATCTCAAAAAGCTGCAAAACAACAACATAAATACTGAGGTGTTGTCTTGCTCTATCCTAACACACAAACAAGCTGCGTTAAAACAATACTGAGCTGTGATTTAAACGATTAACTACCTATGAATTGTTTCTGTTACCTGTCAAACTATTTCAACTTTACATGCAGGGTGGAAGCATTTAATACCTGACAGTTTGACGCATGAGGCCAAAACACTTTTGAACCCCAATAGTAAAATGCATCCACAGTGGGCTGCTGCATACATTCAACACCACACTCGCAATGTCAGCAACAGCGTTATGGGCCAGCTGCACTCTAAACATGTGAGTGACATGAACATAAGTGAAATCCATGCTTTTCTACACCTTCTGCTCCTCCACATGACAGTTACAGGTCAGCTATATAACAGACTATCTGGCAGAGATTCACCATCTTGCTCAAGAACGCTTCACAGGGACAAATGAATCAAAGAGTCTGCTCCGCACGCCAGCAGCTAAACCTCCAGCCAATTCTCGATTACCGACACTAACCGTGGGATAATAAACAATGACATCACGGCCTGCGCTCCAGGTTGAGAGGATCCATCTTGAAAAAAAATACGCTGATTAACCCCAGGAGACAGCCGCAGACTCCAGGTTAATACCCGCTCCTCCATCTCAGAGTTGTACTTGTGTGTTGACATTCCCCACACACTCAGAGCAGCAGGGAAAAGGCAGAGCAGGGGGGGAAAAATGGAGTGATAAAAAACAAACACGACCACAATTTTTTCTTGTCTGTTTTCTGAGCCAAATTGTTTCAGTGGATTGATATAAACACTGACTCACATGAGCCGATGATTACACTGTTTATGGAACACACATGCTCGTGCTCGTTTCCCTCATTAATCCCATTAGGAGCTTCGGGGAGAAGAGCAGATTCATTCACACACGCACCCTCAAGTGGTGGCATTTTCGCAAGATGGTAGTGTTTTTCCTGAGGAAATGTCAGACAGGGAATGGAAGTTGTTTATCAGAGGTCCCCTTGCTTGGGTTACATCCCTGGCTATAAACACAGCGCTGAATAAACCAGCAGTGTGTGTCACTCTGAAATATTCCACTGCTGCCTTGTTCTCCTCCAAGTAAGGTAACAATTATTTCCCAGAAACGGAGAGAAAAGATTTAGATCCCAGGAAAAAAAAAAACAAAAAGAGACAAACTTCAGAGCCTCATCAGAGATATGAACCACACACACACACTTATCCAAATCTACAAAACAGCCTCCAGGCATGCAATGTGCATCCAGAACTCACCGTGTCCCTGAAGCCATCATATTTGTAGACGTGTCCCGTGCTAGTGCCAAGTTTGATGCCATGGCCTAAGCACACCCGCCTCCACTGGGCCAAATTGAGCTCGCTGGCAGGGATGCTATCCACCTTCCCCGTCTTGCTGCTCTTATAAACCACATTCTGCTTGCTGAAACGCAGCCGTCCGTCATTCTGCAGCGAGATATTGAAAAATGAAAAACTCAAATATTTTATACATAAACTAAAAAGCACTGATTACAGCTTTCCAAATGGGAGTTTGCTCACATCATAACATTTATTTTTTAAGTTTGATGATTAGTTTAGATTTAGATTAATTTACAAAACAAAAATCCAGATCTTATTGTTTCCGTACTCGTGGGCATGGATACCCTCTTTACAATAGTGATTTTACAAGAAAAAAAAGAGTAAATGTTTTTTCAGCAAAACAAAATTTCTGCAGCTGAGCCGATGACAGTTTCATTTTTTTTTTTTACACTCATGGCTAAGAGTCAATGCTAACAGCATTTAAAGGCATCTTATTTTTACTAGGTTGTGTAATGATACAATAATACAGTGCTATAGAAAATAATTTTCCCTGTCCCTGACTTCTTAGTATTTTGTCACATGTTTCAGATCACCAAATTGTAACATAAGATAAAAAAAAATAACCCAAGGAAAGATAAAATGCAATTTTTAGAATGATGATTTTAATTATTAAGAAAAACAAACAAACAAAAAACTAAAATATCCAAACATATCTGCCACATCTTAAATCATGAATTAACTGCGATTAACCACATTTTTTGGAGAGCTGAGTTCAATGCCACACCAAGGCCTGATTACTGCCAGACCTGTTTACTTAAGAAATCACTTAAATAAAACCTGTCTGACAAATCGTAGTTGGCTAAAAGATCCAAAAAGCAACACATCATGCTACAGTGAACAGATGAGAAACGAAGTAACTGACATCTATAAGTCTGAAAAGGCTTATGAAGTCATTTTAAGGCTTTGGTACTCCAGTGAATTACAGTGAGAGCCATTATCTACAAATGGAGAAAATCTGGAACAGTGTTGAACCTTCCCAGGTGTGGTCGGACTATAAAAATTACTCCAAAAGTGCATCAATGACCCATGTATTAGGGCACAAAAGAACACCCAGAGCATCATCTAAAGAACTGCAGGCCTCACTTGGCTCAGTTAAGGTCAGAATTCATGACTGAACAATAAAAAAAAAAAGAGAGAGACAAAAAAAGAAGAAGAAGAAGGCAAAAATGGCATCCTTCAGAGCGTTACAGGGTGAAAACCACTGTTGACCAAAAAGAAAACGAAGGCTCGTCTCACGTTCGCCAAAAACATCTTGATGATACCCCAAGACTTTTAGGAAAATATTCGGTGGATTGACCACACAAAAGCTACCCTTTTTCACTCTTTACCAGAGACTCCTTAAAGAGAATGCCCATCCAGCAGTTGGTGCCCTTCAGCTCAGGCAATGTGATTAGAAAGAGACAAGCAAATCTACCTTGAAACGATCAAAGGCTTAATCAAATCTGGACTTACATCCAACTGAGATTGCCAATTGCTTTGGCATGATCTAAAACAGTACATTTGTGACTGAAAACCTTCTAGTGTGCCAGATAAAACAATACGGCACAATTATTGCTCCCAAGCGTGGCACAACCAGTTATTAGGTTTAGGGGGTAATTGAACCAGGGCCAGGCAGGTTTGGGTGGCTTTGTTTCCCTTAATAAATAAAGTCCTCATTTTAAAAACTGCATTTTAAAAAAAAATTACTCAGGTTATCTTTCTCTAATATTGACATCTGTTTAAAGATTTGAAAAATCTGGGTGACACAAATAGGCAAAAAAAAACAAAACAAAAAAAAAAAGAAGAAATCAGAACTGCAAATAATTTTGCTCTGACCCATCAGCTTATCTGCAAATAAGAGCACAGGAGCTGATGTTTGTCTGCGATGCCACTTCAAAAGAGACTGCAATGAAGCCCTGAAAGAATTTGAGAGCAGAGCTGGTGGGTGAAGATACTTACCCAGGAGCCTTTAACCTCCTGGTAGATCTCGTTGAACTCCAGTGTGTCTCCCATTTTGGCTACAGGCGATGACTGATGCTCTACAGACAGACAGAGACGGAGGAAACTGCACTAAATACAACCAAACATCTACAACGAGGCTTATGTCACGCCTGGTTTTAAAACCATTCCCAGATTGTGGCATGCCGGGGTCTGCATTTTGTTGTTGCTCCTCACGGTGGGAAAGTAGTGTGGTGTTGATGAAAACATGAGCAAGCATGCAGCGACTGAGCCAAAACACCCGAGAGGCAGAAAGCAGCCATCCTGTGAGTGTGCAAACTGCAAAAGCAGCTTCGTGTTGAATTTGGGTCTTTTCGTGTTATTTAATATTTCCGTTTATTAGTGTTTAAAGAACTGAGTGAAGTTCTGAGCCAGCTAACAGCTAACTATGAACAATTAAAAGAAAGCTCTGCCCGGCGAAAGTTTACGAATATCGTTATCTTATGGCGTGAATGTGTCAGCGACAGTTGGGTCTTTGTGTTTCTCGAAGCAACCCTTAACTATCATCCATGCTGCGCCACTAACAATAGCTAGGCTAACTTCAACTGCACAGGGTACGCTTCTTTTACACAACGATGTGGGACAGTTTCCAACTGAATCCTCAAATTGAATACGGCACGCGCTAGAACGCCGCCCGCTCGGGATGGTCCTAAGTTAAAATCCAGCGCTCCATCAGCACTAGGCCGGTAAAAAGAAATCATGTAAATATTTTGGGTTATTGTAACAAACGACGTCGCTCAAAGTAATTAATTGTGCGCCACGCACTCCCTCGTTGCTTATACATATCAAAAAATTAATTTCTATAGAAGCGAGAATGCAGAGTTTAAAAAAAACTTCAGCTCTTACTGTGACAGTGCTCAGCAGCTTCGCCTGTTTTCCCGCGTGTAGCATCGGGAGCTAGTCACAGGAAACACTCATACGGTGGCTCGTATTTGCTTCCGGTTTTGAGACGTTACCCCCCTCTTCCTTTGAATCACTGAGGTGTTTGGTGGGTAGTAAATTACAAGGATTTGAAGTGGTTTGAAAACTGAGGTCTGTGTGAAACTTGGACAATAAAAACAAAAAAACAAAAAACATTTTGTTATGGAGTCTGCGCAGGACAGAATGCGTTGCAGTAACCGCTCATCACCACTGGGTGGCACAGAGCACAGCCAAAGAAGCTAGTATGGCAGCCTTTACTTAGTGCCAAAAAGTTTAATAACATAGTATTAAACACAAACTATAACAATACTGATTTATAATACGGGTTTATTTTTTAATAAATTACAAAAAAGAGTCAAATAGGAATATTGCATCATTCTAAATAGTTATTTAGACTCTTATAATACGACATATGGACAGAGGTAGGAAGGCCCCGGATCAAATAGGCTAGTACGCATGGTCCAACAAACCTTATTGAAAACCTTAAGGCAAAATGCACAGTTTGGCCTTTATTTCGTTTTAAATCAATTAAAGAAAATGCAACATAAGGCAACCAAACAGAAATCGGCCAAATAAACGAACCCTCTTCCCCTTCAAAACAGGGCCTCAGCAGGCCTGAATTAAATCGGGGCGCATTTAAGGCCCTTATCATTTGAGGCGAGTCTAAAACATTTTCACGTTTTCACACACACACACACACACACACACACTCCCTACATCAGCACACAAGGCTGAAACAAACCAACGAAGCTTTTGGCAAAGTCCTTGAGGACCCCCTCCTCCGTCTCCTCCACCTTAATCCAGCCTTGAGGATACACTGTCAGTCCGTATAACTAGACTACTTTATTCAACCACATGAACCGGTGGGCCTGACGGATTTTGGAATATCTCAGCGATTACGAAAGAATTTTACTTGGATCCGGGACAAATAAGAGTATCAGCAGCGGTGCTTCGGGGCGCGATACGGCGCTGCATGCCACGGGCTGATGTTCTGGCTGGCACTGAGTGACAGCTGGAGGTGAGAGAAGAAGATCCAGAATAATCTCACTGTCAATAAAAAACTAAGAGCTGAGGAATGGAGGGAGAAGAAAAGAAGCGCGGGACAAGCAAGCAAACACTTGCCTTCATTCTCCCGCAAAGAAACAGAAAGGGAAAAAAAACAAAACAGGCGTAATATTTTTTGACGCAAATTATTTCCTTTATTATTTGCGCCCCAGTTTAATTAAAATACAGCCTTGATTTTTTTTTGTTATGTTATTTCACTTTATTTCAGATTTTTGTGCAATATTACTAGGCCTACTTTAAACGAATAGATTTAATGTACATTTTTAAACTAATTTGGTCTCTGCGTAAAGAGGACAAAAGAGAAAAAAAACATTTCGACTGTTTGGTAATTTATTTTTTACTCCAAGTGGAAGCATAAATGCTTAGTTAAATGAATAGTGATAATTATTATTGTAATAAAAGGGAAAGAGAGAGAGAACATCTAATTCGTTCCGTATTTCCCGGACGATTTGAAGGTCACGCTGGCCTCAGCTGAACGGATCAAATCGGACTCGCACCTTGTTAAAACGAAGCAGATTTAAGATCAAACGGCCGCGCTTACATCGGGTTCCCGAGGATGACGAGAGGAGAGAGAGGAAGAAATGAGTTGTGACAAGTCTCGTGGTTCAGCGGCTCTGTCAAGTTGAGCCGTGATGCGTCAACCCGGTGAATCACCACCATTTACTGAAGAGGAGGCGGATAACGAAAGAAGGAGAAGGAGAAGAAGAGACAGGGATGTGAAGGAGGGGAGGAAATAAGTGAAAAGGGTAGAAAAAGAGGAGGAGGAGGAGGTACAAAAAGGCTCCGCCGTCATTCAGTCTGTCGCACAGACCACACGCACCATAGTCAGCGGATCGTCAATATTTCAACTGAATGTAACAAATATTTCACTTTAAATGACTGGATCGGCATCACCTGTGTTTCACTTTATCTTCTCCTGAGCAGATTTTATTGAGCCGATTAGACGAAAAAAAAGAAAAGAAAAAGGTTTGCGGTTCTGTTTAATCTCCAAGAGAAGAGAGGAGATCATTATCGGGTTCTTTCTGCGCTTAGTGGATGAACTTCTGAGAGCGCACCGACGTGGATAAAAGGATTTGAGGAAAATGAGGAGATTCTGCGGAGGTAAGACCATGAATCTAAAACCTTTTATGGAGGGATGGGTGGAAAAAGAAAAACTTTGTTGCCAGACAGAGTAAAATTACAGTGGAATTAAGTGAAAAAATTTTTTTTTAAACATTTCTTTCTTTTACACTTAAACGTTTGCTTTATTATTTAATAATTTGTTTTGCCTTGCATCTTTAATCATTATTAAAAGTTGTGGCAAAAGCGCCGAGTTTGAATATTTTAGTGCGTAATCCCCGCAAATATGATCCTTTCCTGTGTAGCCTAAGGCTTTAACATGCGCACGTTTCTTCCACTTAAAACCAAACATCAAATTATCCCAAATATCAAAACAGTTTTTTTTATAATCCTGGAAAGAAATCCCTTAATTTTATTTTTTAATATTTATTTTTCTTGTTGTTATTTTAAATATAAAATGAATTTAAAGGTTGTTGTGAGTCATCTCTTCACATTTGGAAATTACTGGTGAAGGAGCACACGTGGGTTTAGTGGTCCATCATCCAATTCTCTGAGGGTTATCAGAAAAAAACAAACAAACAGAGTAAAAAAAATGGATGGAAATATGAATGGAGCGAAAATATAGGAAATGTAATTTTAGGGTAATTTGGTGTTAAATATCCATGTGAGAGGGATGGCAGGAAGAGAGTGTGAAAAAAAGAGCGAGAAAGGCTGAAAAATGTCTGTGAGAGCGAAAGATGGATGGGGAGGGGTCTTATTCACAGTAAAAGGGAAAAAAATGACTGGGGTTGAGGGGGTCAGACGCAGCTAAAGCCCCTGTCTAGTTAACTGTCACTGATATGACAAAGTACATGATTCACGTTAGTCACACACACACACACACACACACACACACACACACACACACACACACACACACACACACTTTTCCCCTGGGACCACTGGTGCGGCTGC